AGTAACTTTTACCAACTTATTTATGAGACTATTTTAACAGCAGTCTCACTATGACAGTATGGAACTCCCCCAACACACACAAGTATGAGACAGAAAAACAAAAACACACTGCTAGATGATGAATCACCACTGTACTTTCCATGAAAGGAAAAACCTCATTTAGTTACTAAATTAGAAATTACATGACTGGGATATGCCTTTTTTTTTTGTAAAATCTACAAAATGAATTGTCTTGGCTAAGGCTGGAGTTTCCTGGCCTATGGCAGGGCAGGAGGTGGGTCTTAAAGGGGTGGAGTTTGTGTATATAAGGGGGAAGTGCAAAGAGGGAAAGATTATTAATTAGAGAGTGGGAGAGTGAGAGAGGGATGAATCACCACTGTACTTTCCATGAAAGGAAAAACCTCATTTAGTTACTAAATTAGAAATTACATGACTGGGATATGCCTTTTTTTTTGGAAAAATCTACAAAATGAATCAGTCCAAAAGTAGAAAAGGTGGTACCTTTTATTTAGACCATAAAAATCAAACATTAAATTAAAGCTTTTATGAATAAAATTCACCCTCAGGGTTAGAGTAGGAAAATTATGAATGAAAGTCCCCAGGTGGTCATAGCAGAGATGATCCACCAGGCACATAGCTTAAGGTGAGTTGAGAGCTGGTTTCAAGCAGTTTGTGTGAGGTTGTTTTTAAATGCCTTACCCCTGGTGCCATTCGGTCGGAATTTTCCAGTCAGTCTCTAGGATAGGGAGCTGAATCTGGATTTTCTGTGTACCTCAGGGGTGACTACAGAACCAAGCAAAAAAAGCTCCTGGTCACTCATGGGACAGGGCAACACCTCAATGGATCCTCTGTGTCTTCCAGTTGACATTTGTGGTGTTAAAAAGTTTTAACAAAGACGCTCAATGATTTGAATTGAGAAAATAAAAATGAAAAAGATTGGGCTGCTCGTACCAAAGGAGAAAGGGAGTGATAGCTAAATGTCCAACAAAGCCCAAGATCTCCCCTGGATACTCCAGCCACTGAGACACTAGGTCAGGCTGAGACTATGGTTACCACACACTACATAATCTCTTGCAGTCATTTCTGCCAGCCATTCAATAGAAGTAAAGACTTGTGTCATCATTGCTAGCTACTATTTGCTTTCTAAAATCTTCTCTCTTTTTTCTCATCTGGCTTAGTTTAATAAAAGGTTCATTTCTAGGATTGAATTTATATGTACCTGTGGATGAATGCCTGTGTATGAGTGATGCAAGGAGATTCTCATATTAAATATACTGCAAATTCATCTTGCACGGGCTTTGACTGGTTAGGTCAGCATTTAATGCTGATATCTTTCTTTTCACCTTTGTCATCCATTTTTTTATTTCTTAGTGATGGTGCAAATCCAGTTCCTTACAACTTTACTTCCATAATTGCTAGAAGGGCATTTCTGGATTTAAAAAATCCTCTTATCTACCAAACCCCTCAAAACAATGCTGCTGTGTAGCCCCACCTCAAGTCATAATTATCTCTGTTTTCCCCATTCAAATTAATATGGATTTTCACACACACAAACACAAAACCTCTCTCATGGATTGGGTTGGAATATCACAAAAGGGCATAGGGCAGGTTGGACACTCACCTGCGCGCTTTTTCGCAACACTGGTCTGGGTTGGGGAACTACCGTGCATTCCTACTATATGCCAATAAGATTTCAAAATAACAGGTTTCCAAATATAACATGATTCAATAATGTATATTATAATGCAAGGACAATAGGATAGAACAGCACAATAAATGGCCCTATTACTCTGTAACACAATTATAACCAAACATTTCAGAGAAAAAGTGATCAAATACCTTATTTTAGGGAAGAATACTGGATTATAAATCCCAGAGTAGACAGATCTTAATGTCACAAATGGCAAGATAAAAATGCTAAATTGCAAGAGCTAGGGCCAAAACATAAAGAGAAGGCAGGCAAACACTTTTTAAAGAAACAGACTGATGTTCCCTTATTTCAACAGACACTTAAAAAATTGAGTATGCTGGGTGGAGAGAGGCAAAATATTCTAACTCTTTAAAGATTTATTCTAGCTTTAAAGATCAATACAGTAGTTTTATTTCAATACAAGCTTTCATGGATAAAAATCCACTTCCTCAGAAACAAAACTGTTACGACTTTAAACTGCTACAATATTTTGCCTCACCAGTCCACCCATTTTTCTTTTGCCAACATACTGAAACAGACTAATCTTGTCTGGAAACTGTATATAAAGAAAGGGTTACCTTTTAAATGTAAATGGTTTGCCATCAAATGTCAGGCTTCAGGGTCATATAGGGACTATCTATTAACTTCCATTTTCATTGTAATAACTACAGAATTATGCTATATAGATTGTTCAATGCCATTATATTTATGATCTCAGCAACAGCAATTTGAGAATGGCCAGTGTTATTAATGTATTTGTCATGGTCAGTATTATTCAATGTCTTTCTATACAATATAATTAAAAATTAGTTCAGGTGCAGTTAGTATATATGCACACAAAGAGAGAGATGCATATACAAATGTATACACACATATTTACATATGTGAAATGGAACCACTTCCTGTACACGATTCAAATTATTTATAGATCATAAAAGCTTATGCCATAGTGAATATGTTGGTCAAGATGATGCACACTTTGCTGTTTTTGTAGATTATATGACATTATAAAAATAAGACTGGACATTCTGCATACGCACCATCAAAACCCAACATGCATTTCTGAAATGTGAGTTGCAAGCGTAAGCTTGTGGTAAAAAGGGCATCTTACGACAAAGCTCTATTTTTGCAATTAGCAGAAATCCTGTTGCACAGGTCCCATGGACAACAGAGAATGTCATCATCAATGCCAAATCACTGCTGACCAAAGGTGATTTCAGGGTGCTCATGACCTGTACAGAAAGCAACGAAATTCCATGTGCCTCAAATCCCCAAAGGAGCCTTTTAATTAACACCAATTTGCTACTGTTACATTGTACCATGCAGAGCTGTGCAATAGGATTTCAGCCATTGTTGTTAATACACATTAAATATACTGCAAATCAAAATGAAAGTGTGCTGTGATCAACAGGTTCTTTCTTGTTAAGCATGACTAAAGATTTAAAAGAGATCATTTAAGATTAGCTTCACTACTACATTTCCTTGAATCCAAATGACCAACCTGTCAGTTTCCTCACTCACAATTCCCACGTCCTCTAAAAATTATCACATCATGTACAAGGCAAAACAGTGAGAATGATACTGCAAAGACCTATCAATTCCTGCTGTCTCAGAAGCAGAGAAATATTAATAAGACTGAAAACTGACAAATTGCAAGAACGATCACTCCCAAAGCAAATTATGTTATACTATAGAAATGGCTGGGTCCTGCCTTTTCACATACTTGATCTTAAGGGAAGGGTAGTTGCCTTTTGACACTGAATTCTTACAATACTGAATGAACAAGTACCGTGGTGCCCTGCTTAACGATTACCTCGTTAAATGACAAATCCGCTTGACAATGAGGTTTCTGTGATCGCTTTTGCAATTGCAAAACAATGTTTTAATGGGAAAAATTCCTTTAACGATGATTGGTTCCCTGCTTCAGGAACCGATTTTCGCTAAACGATGATTTTAAAACAGCTGATTGGTGGCTCTCAAAATGGCTGCCTGCTGTGCAAAATGGCTCCCCGCTGTGTCTAGGATGGACTCCTCACTTAACAGGCACCGGAAAAGGGCCGCCCTATGGAGGATCTTCGCTGGACGATTAGGTATTTAGCCCATTGGAACGCATTAACCATTTTTTAATGTGTTTCAATTGGTTTTTCCCCCCACTTGACAACGATTTCGCTCGACAGCGATTTCACTGGAACGGATTAACGTCGTCAAGCGAGGCACCACTGTAACACAGAAATGCTAATCAGCACTCTGAAGCCTTTTTGGGGTCCCAGCAGAGACAAAGCCACTTGCAGAAGAGTTTCTGAGATGGGCATCAAAGCTGGCACTGATATCACGAAGTTACTCGCACTTGTGCAGTACCATCACAGTGCAATAATTGGGAGGATCCTGCAATAAGCAGGTACAGTTATTTCACTCACTTGCTCACTCTCACTAATTGTCCACTTGTAAGCATTCCAAAGTTGTTGGTACCAGCTTTTGGTTTCTATCTGCAGTAGTCCCCTCAAGTCACTAAGTTAAATTGTAAGAGAATCAATACTCATAGCATAACAATAATCTCCTTCTAAAGAAGATTCATGCCAAGATCCACTGACACATGCTTTAAGAGAGCATCCAGTCTTATAGTTTTGTATACGTTTTCCTAATAATCACTGTTCACTAAAACATAGCAATCCCTACTTTATTCATTTTCCCATAAGTCTACAGAGTTTTCATCCAAGTTCTGCTGTTTTTGTTAGAGATATACTATATTTTCTCCCATAGTCTGGAGAGGATCTTTATGCTGTTTTGTTCTTGACAATGCCTCAACCATTGTTCATTACAGTACTAGCTTATTCACCTGTCCTTCTAAATTCTGACATGTACCATTATGCCCTTCACCAGGTACCTTGGTATTTTTTTCAGCTGAAAACAAAACTGTTTCACCTAAATATACATATATTATGTTTTTAGCATGCTGCATCAAATGCATAATGGTGCACCTACGCAAACTTATAATTATTGTGTGTATCAACAGGAAAACCAAACCCATAATTTCAAGAAAAAATGTACTAAGGCACTGCCAAAAACTCTGTATTTAGCTCCACAAAATTACATATAGTAAAACATGGAAATTCAATTCATTGTCATTGAACATGCATACAGTACAATGAAATTCACAAAGAACACTCAGAGAACAGAGCAAAAGCACACATACACCTTCATAACAAACCCTAAATCTCAGAACCTCATAGTATCCACACAAAATCACGACAGACCAAGTAATAATAAATTAAACATGTCTGAATTAAAACATGGAAAACCTTAGACTTACTTGTCCAGGAAGTCCTTGTCCACCACTGCACAGATATCAAGGAGAGGATTTCCCATTCCAAAAAGTACATTTTCACTGTAAGATAAAGTGGCCCAAGTTAATTTAAAGAACTGAAGCATACTGATAAAACACTATCACACAATATAGAGATTAGAAAATATTTCATCCCTACAATCGATTATCAATATTTGAGGAAGAGACTAAGCAAAGAAAACAAATCAAATTCAGTATGTTTACATGTTAGTTCTCTGACTCAAAAGACTTTTTCCAAAGTGTCTGCATTATAGTTCTCCAACAAGTGGCTGATGTTATAAATTCTCAAATATTAGTTTACCAAAACACCATTAATTCTGAAAAATAGTTGCCTGCATGTGCAAGCACCTCTACCTATGGTCTTAATATTTTAATCAGTTTTATTTAAAATCAAGCTGCACTCTTTAGTCTAATAATATCAAATTCATAGCATATAAAATTATTATATTGCTATATTTGCAATTTCCACAAATCCTTCCTACCCAAGACTAAATTATGTCCCTATTAAAAATCATATTTCACTGTTTTCTCTTCTAAATCCTGCCTCACAATTTTCACCACCAAATAAAAACTTCCTCAGCTATTTGATGAACATTTTCAAATTATTACATTCTGCATGTAAAGACTACATTCATTAGATCAATATTTTACTGGTCTTTCTGATTATTAAGGTTGGGACTTGCAAATCTAGAGATACCCCAATTATATGACACAACTGGGGAGAAGGAGTGATTATATTCTAAAAAGCATACTAAACATACCAACAGCATTCCCAATTAAACAGCTTTCAGGATGAAGCAAGATCAGAAGCTGTTGCTAGCCAGGACAGCCTATGCTTTACTACACTGACCAAGGATTTGAGTTAGAATAAGGAGCCTTTTCCTGTTATTGCTAGGCACAACATATTCCATGATTCTGTCATCTCATAAACTAAAGCAGTTAATAATTTGGAAGGGAAAAATAAAGAGAGTACTGTATCATATTCTTCTCAGTTCCAGATTTTGCTGTTGGGAGTAAAACCAAAATGCACTTCACCATCTAAATCACTGAGTAGTATCACCAAGACTATTCAAACACCAACACCTGCATTCACCTAATCATCTTCAGCCCTTGTACCATTTAAGCAGGTTGGCTTTTTCCTGCTCCACAAGAAAGCAAGATCTGCCTTCTTTATCCAAAATTAAGAGCACTTATGGGAGCTTAAATAGTTATGTCCAGTGATCCTGCAATGAGAAGGGGAGGTTGAAATTAGTCCTTGACATTATAAAAGGAAAAACTGCTTTCCTTTTGAAATTATTTAAGCAGCAAACAAAAATAAGTAAAAGTCAGGAAATATTTAAATTTGTAGTCAATAGCTGCTGCTCCCACACTCTGAAACTCCATCCCACAGGAAGCTTGGCTGGCCTCATCTTTATTGTCCTTCCACAAGCAGGCAAAAACCTTTCTCTTCAGACAGACATTTCTGGGGTTTTTTTTAATGGACTGTTGTACTTCGCTGCATTGAACATGTTTTGGTGTTGCTCGTGGTTTTCTGTATGGTATTTGCTTGATTTTTTTAGTATTTGCATAATGACTGTTATTAGCTTAAATGCAGTCTTTTTATTTATGTAAGCTGCCTTGAGTCTTTAAAAAGACAGAATAAAAATATTTTAAATAAATAAATAAAAATAGACAGAAATTACTAAATTATATAAAGAAAATCCTGAATTTGAATTCACTGTAAGACAAGAATTTCATCATTGGTAACAGGTTTTGAAAATACAGATCAAAGCATATGATTTTAAATGCAAGACATAAATGAGCCCCAGTGAATTAATTAAATGCTGTTTCCAGTTTATAAAGTTTAGGATTCAGTAATGAAAGTTGGTCCAAAACCAGTATTAATCATTTGCCAGTTTTTGCTGACTATCACATGCTCGGATAAAACAAGGGTGAATAACTTCGAAAAGAGATGAACTTTGCATAGTCAATGGGTTAGTTTTCTGCAAATTAAAGTGTAACAAAATGTTATTTTTTTATAAAGTTTGCAACTCTAAGTTGTGAACTCTGAAACAGGCATCATAGTACTTTTCTCACTGCTTGAGTGTGTAGGAAAAGTAGTGAAGACTTCCTTAAAACAGGGTAGGATCCCATCATGCTTAAAGGAGGCAATAGTAAGACCATTGTTGAAAAAGCCCTCCTTGGATCCCAAATACTTAATAATTATCTACCAATATCTAATATTCCATTCTTGGGCAAGGTGACAGAGCGGGTCATAGCTTCTCAGCCACAGGGGTTTATGGATGAGACAAATTATCTAGGTCCAGTTCAATTTAGCTCTAGGCCTAGTTATGGGATGGAGATTGCTGTGGTAGCCTTGATGGACAACCTGTGCTCGGAAATGGATAGGCAGTGTTCCCTGTTGGTTCTGCTGGACCTCTCAACGGCTTCCAGCACCATCAACCATGGTATCCTCTTGACCCATCTCTCTGAGATGGGACTTGGGAGTCACTGTTTTATGGTGGCTCCAGTCCTTCCTGGAGGAAAGAACTTTGAAGGTAGTCCTGGGAGATTCCTTTTCAACATCCTGGTTGCTGGTCTGCGGGTCCTTCAGGGTTCTGCTTTGTCTCCTATGTTATTTAACATCTACATGAAACTTCTAGCAGAGGTTTTCTGCAGTTTTGAGGTTTGGTGTCACCAGTATGCACACAACATCTAACACACACACTCTCTCCTTTCCATCTAAATCTGAGGAAGCTGTTTCGATTCAAGCAGAACCTGTTTCAGCAGGGCAGGAGTTGACAATGGGCCTATTGGGGTTACCAACCCTGCCTCACCCTCCTTCTAATAAGCACAGTGAAGTGCAATTGATGGCCTACTCTATAGCCTGTTTTTTTAGGCAAGGAAATCCTGCTAAATCCATTAGGAGAGGTTTTCCAGAGTTTGGTGTCACTAGTATGCGGATGACACCTAACTCTATCTCTCCTTGCCATCTAAATCTGAGGAAGCTGTTTCAGCCTGAATCACTGTCTGGCATCAGTAATGGACTGGATGAGGATGAATAAACTAAAACTTAATTCCAACAAGACAGAAGTGCTCCTGGTCAGTTGAAAGGCAGATCAAAGAATAGGGATGCAGCCTGTGCTGGATGGGGTTACACCCCCCTTAAAACACAGGTGCGCAGCTTGGGGGTACACCTGGATCCATCTCTGAGACTGGATGCCCAGGTTTGGAGGTAACTAGGAGTGCCTTTGCACAATTAAAACTAGTGTGCCAACTGTGTCTGTTCCTGAAGAGGTCTGATCTGGCCACTGTGGCACATGCCTTAGTTACATCCTGACTGGATTACTGTAACACACTCTATGTGGGTCTGCCTATGGAAAGTGTCAGGAAATTTCAGCAGATCCAAAATGCAGCAGCCAAATTACTAACTAGGGCTGGTTACAGGGATTGCATACCCCCTGTTACAGCAGTTCCACTGGCTGCCGATCCATTTCACTTCAAAGGCACAATTCAAAGGGTTGGTTCTAACCTATAAAGCCGTAAACAGCTTGAGTCCAAGCTATCTCAAACACCGTGTCTCCAATTATAAGCCTGCTCGGGTATTAAGATAATCAGGCAAGGTCTTTCTCTTGGTCCTTCCTATGTGTACTTTGGCAGGGACACTGTAGAGGGCCTTCTCTGTTACTGTTCCCAGACTTTGGAATTCCCTCTCACTGAGGCCTGACTGATTCCCAACTTTGCTGTCTTTCTGCTAGCAGGCAAAAATTGTTCTCTTCAGGCAAGGTTTCCTTCAATGACTGGCTGCCTGAGTGGGATTTTTAAATGGATGATGCCTTACTGCTTTGAATATGTATTTAGTATTACATTTGTTTATCATTTCTCAGAGTGGTATTTGTTTGTTCCTTTTAAATATTTGTATACTTACTGCTTTTAGTTTTAATTATTATATTTTAATGATATAAGCTGCCTTTGTGTATTTATTGTTTTTACTATTACAGTAAATATTGTATTTTAATGATGCAAGGTACCTTGGGTTTTTTTTAATGAAAAAGGCAGGAAATAAATAAATAAATATTGCCATATATGGTGGGTTTAAATTGTGAATTGTCCTAGCTGCCGCTTTTTTTTTGCATATTTACTTCTTTTTATCGTATGACACCATCTGTGCTTTACTTATGAAACATATTCTTGCAAGAAGAAAAAGCCAAATCTGCACACTCATGTCTAGCTGCCAGCTTATTTAAAAGCAAGGTCTGCAGACCTTAAATCAGTCACAATGAAAATTGTTCTCTTCCTAGAGATATCTCACAGCATGTGGGTCTCAAGGTAATCTAGTAATTGAATTGAATCACGTAGTCAGACTTACTGGTTTATGCACTTCTACTAAAGGCAAGGGATATCTGATATACCAGACACTGCTGTTGAAAGTAGAAGGATAATTAAACTCCAGGGTTGTAACTTTAGATAGCTCTTCAGGAACTATGGAATGAACTAGACAGAATATACGCTGGGGAGGGGGGTTTTCAATTAGTTAACTACTACTACTTCAAAAATGAATGAACAGAAAAATGTTTTGAAGTTGTTGTGCTATGCTTAAGCTATCTACACAGAGTATTTTAATTCATTTTGATAAATTTTATTTGTATCTGAGTGTTACACAATTTAAATTATGGTCATACAGTGGACCCTTGACTTACAGACGGCTTGACTTACAGACTTTTTGACTTGAGAACCGCCTTCCAATACGGATTAAGTTCTCAAGTCAAGACCCCACTGTATATGAAATATAAGTGAAAATTAAAAACAAATAAAAATATTAAAAATAGACTATTTTTGACCAGAAACAGGATACTTCAATAGTGTTATCTCAGTCATTTGCTAGAATTTGTTTTATACATGAAGCATAAATTGTATGCATGCAAATGCTCCATTGATTGAATTTCTCTACAGTCACAGAAAATGTGTCCTGTATCCAAGTAACCCCGTTTTATTTTATTCTTTTTGTGATCTTCCTATTTAGCCTCAAAGTCAATTAAGTGACATACAAATGGTCTTGCCCAAGTGTTGTCCTGGTGAGGGACACTCCTGAGCATTCATTCATTTGACAAGGTGTGTTATTTTTGTTTTCCATAGATTTAGCCTCTTCTGGTTTAATACTTAGAGCTCGAGATGTGTGCAGAAAAGTCTTCCTTGATTTTACCCATTCTCTAGGGCAGTGGCTCCCAACCTTTCGTAACTAGGCATTCTTGGACTGCAATTCTCAGAAATCCCAGTCAGCACAGCAAGTGGTGAAATCTTCTGGAACTGATGTCCAAGAACACCTGAATTACCCAAGGTTGGGAGCCACTGGTTAGAGGGGGGTGTCCATGAAGATGATGAGTTTGGTGCTGTATTGCCTTATTTTGTTCATTACTTGCTAGCACCTTTCTATGTACTTCTGGAGGGGCAATGCCACCCAATAACATACTTTTTCAGTGAGGGCAGGTTTGAAGCAGCAAGTAATAATTCTGCATGTTCCGTTATGAGCTACACCCACTTGTTTGGTATATGTTGATTTACACCATACAGCACTAGCATATTCTGCTGTGGAGTAGCACAAGGACAAAACTGTTGTTCTTATTGTTTATGGATGTGCACCCTGGTCTAACTCAACTAGTTTTCTAAGTATGTTATTTCTGGTGGCAACTTCATTTAGCGTTTAGACCAGTGGTGTCCAACCTTGGCTCTCCAGATGTTCTTGGACTTCAACTCCCAGAAATCCTGGCCAGCAGAGGTGGTGGTGAAGGCTTCTGGGAGTTGAAGTCCAAGAACATCTGGAGGGCCAAGGTTGGACACCACTGGTTTAGACCATATTTTTGTAGGTCAGAGTCAATCAAGAGTAATACACAAATACTTTGGGGTATGGCAATGTTCCTAAATCTTGTCTTCCCAGGTAACTTGGAGCTTCCACACTGCTTCTCTGTTCTTTAAGTGGAAGACACAAAACTGTGTTTTTAAAGAGTTTGGTTTCAGCTGATTGTTTTTATAAGGAAAGATCTTCTAATGCAGAAGTTAACCAATCTTTGATGGCCTCAAAGGTTTCCCCATGGATTGTCAAGGCAGGATAATCAACATAGATGAAATTCTTGAAGTATTGGAATGTTGGTTGATCATTTGTGTAAATGTTAAAAATTAATGGTGCCAGGACGCTACCCTGTGGGTGACAATTCCTTTGATTTCTCTAGTGACTGTGTCTCCCTCAAAACTCTACAAAGAATCTTCAGTTCTGAAGTAGAACAGTGACAATTTTTGTTAGCCCACTATATTTAGTAAGGAGCTAGAGCTTTTTGAGCAGCAACTGATGGGGGACAGTATCATATGCCACTGTAAGGTCGACAAATGCTGTTCCAGTTATTTTACATGTTACAAAACCATATTCTATATAATGGGTTAGATTTAAGGTTTGAGCTATACAACTTCCTAGGTTTAAAGCCTGAATTGTCTGGAATTATGAGAAGTTCAATTTTATTCATTCAAACATTTTGCATCAGTGGCATAGTAACGAGATTGGCCTGTAGCTTCTGGGATCTGATAATTTTGATAATTAACTTATTTAAAACCTATGAATCACCTACCTCCAAGAGTTGCTTAAAACATGCTTCCAATGAGCATACAATTTCAAATGTGAATTATCCACATAGTTTTGGAATGTTTAATATTAGCTATATTTTGCAAAATTAAATTGCATTCACAGTAAACAGAAAAGGTTACACAACTTACAAATACTGTGTCCTATGGAACTAGGCCAAAATGCTTATCACAACTCCCTCTGTTCATATGTCCTAATTTGACAGCAGTACAAACAAAAAACATGAATTCACAGCAGTGAGTCTTTATAATGCAAGAAGCATGGATGAACATTTTAATACAATCATTACATCTTTACATAGCTGGTGCCTCAATTTACCATATTGACCACTAGCTTCCACGGTTTTAAAGGAATATTAAACAATTAACATAGACTTACACCTACCAATAGACGACACTTAATTTGAACCTGTGTTCAAAGGCAATGTATCTGTCAAGTAGCACCTGAGAAAAGCTGGAAGCATTATTGTCAGAAAACTCAGTGATGGATCTTTAGTCCAATCTAGTACAGCTTTTCATATGACTTTATAGAAAGTTCCTGGAGGCATTTAGGAAGTACTTATGCATCAGCAAACCAGATGATTACTACTTTCAAAGAGCTGTTGTCAAGTATCTTCTGGAGAGTCCCTGGAGTCCGACGCCAAGCTAATAGATTTTTCTTGATGAGAAGATTAATAAATAAACGGAAAGACAGCTTGTCCATTATTTGCACTTCTTCCTGCAATAAGCAGTTTCCTGGAGCCTTCCAGGGCAGCTATCTCAATTTTCAGAGATGACTATCAGAGCTAACATAAATCAAGTATACTGTACTTCCTAGAACCTTCTGAAAAGTTCATTCCAATATGAATGTTAACTCCATGCATGTTATTTCATTTCTACAGCATGTATCTCTGTTTTTGATAGAAGGCATAAGGAAGAAAGAGAAGCATAAGGGCACATTTTGTTCCTCCTACTACTAATTCAGGAAAATTTCTAGAGAGAATCAGTGTCATATAACTCCTAAGCCTACACATGGTAATGACCACAGAAACCAGCTGCTTAAAACTTCAATTTATCTTTTTTTTTTAATTATAAAAATAGATAAATAAACGCAAAGCCATATAACAGGAGTATATTTCCATGCTTATTGTTCAAACAGCAATGCCAAAGGAACAAATATACCTATCTCAGAAGAACCCTCCTTTTTTTAAAAAAATAAGTGATGCATACTTATAAGAAACACTAATTAACTCAATGAAACTTATTTCTGAATATATGCATGAAACTGTCAGATCCTTAAATGGAGAGGAGTGTAAAGCCATCCGTATTTTAAAGAACCAAAACCTAGCTCTCTGTATTGAACACGGAGACCTAGGTTTAAATTTGTTTAGAGACCGCGCTGGACTGAAACCTTAAAATTAATTCCTATTTTAACCCTTGTCGTTTCCAAACCCCGAGGAGTGCGCTGTTCGCTCTCTCTCCCGAATTACGTTAAAAATATGATTAAATGAAAATGTGCAAACATTTGAGCGGAGGAAGGCATACGTGAAAACTAAAGCGAAATACCCGCCACCCTCTCCCATGTCCTCCTAGCCGAAAGGAGGACTGGACCGGACCGAACCTCCCTCAAGCGCAACCGCCACCCAAACCGCCCCAACAAGGGACCCGGGGAAAGAGCGGCAGCCTCCGCTTTGGAGTTACCTCAGAGTGGGCATGGCGGCGGCGCTGCTCCGGGAATTACTCCTGCTTTTGGGGACTCTGCTTCAGCCGGAGACGAAGCGATAACAGGAACGCGGAGCAGCCACCCGTCTCCTCAGCACGCGACGGCCAGCCCGACAGCGCCTCGCCAGCAGCTCCACCGACTTGACTGGGCTGCCTCAGGCGAGGGGGGGGGCGACCAAGTCAGCCACGCCAACTCCGCCTCTCTTCCCCGCCTGCTCGCCGCCATTGGCTGGACGGGGCAAGCCGGCGATCTTGATCAAAAAGCTACCGCTGAAGGCTCGCTAGTTGGACCTCATGCGGTCCTTGAAAACTATCGCGGTTCCCGAAGCGGACACCCGCGCTGCGCTGAAATCTACAAACTTGCGCTTATTGAGGAGAAGAGCTAACTGGAAATCTTCCACAAGCACGATCAGTTCCAATTCAATGAAGAGGTGGTTCCGCCATCTTTGCTGTAGGCAGAAACTGGAAGCTCCTTTCCGCCATCTTTGCTGCGGGCAGCACTCGCACACATACAGTTCCACGCAGACACGTGGAAAGGCAAGCTTTTCCTTGGTTTCTCTCTACGGCTAATCCTTCCCCAAATTCGCCGTCCTGCTGAAAGACTCATCACCACCAGGCGGGAAGAGCAGTTAAAAAGAGTTAATGGCGAAAGGGTTTACGAAACGAGTGACAGAATGGGAACGAAGCGGCAATTCTGTGAGCAAAAAGGTCTGCATGATGTTGCAAACTGGACTACTGGAGAGAAGGCAGACAGATAAGCGCCTGTTATTTCTTCTCTCTTATCTCTTCACTGATCTATGTCCAGTCACCCCTAGGCTACCTTCCTTCTGCAGCTTGTGCAAGGTTTCTTTGTAATGGCTGCCTGAGGAGACCTGCAGCCAGGAAAGCTTCTTTAAATAGATTTAGGGGTTTTTCCCTCCCTCCTGCTCAATCTATAGATTTTGTTACACAACAAAAGTACGTTTTTCTATTTTAACCTATCAACCACCAGGGTAATTATTATCTTCAACAAGCACTAAGCTACTGCACTCTGTGAGCCTAAACATCAAATAATCCTGGTAGAAGCATTGGATATGGTTCCGGTCACCACATCTTAAAGAGGACATCATGACACAGAAGGGGCAACTGAAATGATTAACAGGTTGGAACAACTGCCCTATAGTGGAAGATTACCATCCAGGGACTCTTTATTTTGACAAAAGATGGCGGGCATGATAGAAGTCCACGTGGCATGGTAAAGTACTGTAGATGGGAAGAAGTTGTTCCCCTCTGTCATAATACTAGAACAAGAATCATCCTATTAAGAATGGTGGAAGTTTCCCTGAGGTGTTTTTTTAAGTAAATAGTCAAACTCTGAAATTCACTGCGACATAATGTAATGATGGCCACTGCACTGGACAATCTTTAAAAGAATTAACCAAATTCATGCAGGGTAGATGTGTTGGTGGCTACTAATGATGGCTATATTATTGCTTTCAGTTTAAGAGATAGTGCTCTAATACTCATCTTGCTGGGAAATATGATCAGGAGGGTATTTTTGCAATCTCATCCTGTTTATGGGCTCCCCATCGGCATGGCGCTAGCTATTCTGTATTAGACAAGCCATTTGTCTGATCCAGCATGACTCTTTCATTTTTTAAATAATGTAAACAATAAGGAGAGTTTGATTCCTGGAAAATACAGCTTTCACGCCACATTGTATGTTGTGTGGGAGAGAAAGAGGGAGTGCTAAATATGAATTACAGAAAACAGGCAACATGCCAGTCAAGATGGATTATGTTGTGTTCTATGGGATAGCTTTTCTACCAAATCTCAGGAGGAGGAACTAAATTGTGGATAATTATAGGCTCCTTGGAGTTCACCCAAGGAAAGGGTTAAACAAAGGATTCATTAGGTTGGCTCATGGGATGAACAGGAACCTCCCAAGCTTCTTGACTGAATTTGGGCTGCCTGATATTAAGCACAAAAGCTAAACCTTCACGAGAAAAACAAGTAGTGGGGAAGTTCCAGGGATGAAATCTAGGAGGTGATTCTCAGTTCCCTGGACCACACTGCAGGGCACACCAACCTAACAACTAAACCAGAAAGGACTAAAGGTTCACTTCCAATCTTGTAAAGAGGACTTTTAGGGGAAACAAAGTTCAGGAAAGTATTGTGCTTTGTTTTGAAGGAGGATCGCTAATCTTGGAGACTTCCTTTCTAATAAATTGTACAGGAACCACTGGATAGGGGCAGAGACCACACAAACAGTCAAGTGAGGGCCACATCATACCATCCCAGACATAAAGCTTCCCAGAACAAAAGAAACTAGGAGGTATATACCTGCACAGTGCCATAACTTGTTGATGTACCTTCAGTATTGGAGGTTACTTCCTCCTCAGGTTTCAGATTGGCCAGTTTGCAAAACACTCTAGCCAGAGGTGCTTTGATTTATAGTGATTTAGCAATCAAGATGGTATTTACATTCAGTTCCTACTTATTCTCAACTCAGATCAGGTCAATTTTTATTGATTAAAATATAGATTAGGACACCTAAGCCATGAACTTTGATTTCAAAAAAGTCGTGTAGCTAGGATACCACTATTAGGATGCTTTTGCTGTCAACTGCCACAGATCCCTTTTCCCAGGTGCATACAAATTTCATTAAGTTTTTTTAAATTAAGTATATTAATCAAATCCAACTATCATGCAAGAAATGGCAACAATAGATTTTATATCCTTTGCTCTAATCTTTTTGGCAGTCACAACACATAGAATATTTGATTGTTTACATACAGATCTTTATAAATATTTATCTGACAAAGATTTATCGGCCTTCCTTTCAACCAAAATATAATACATTCCTCATTGGGTTCAACATTTATATTTCAGAATAACACACAATGAATAATATCCCCTTTTTGTGATGCCTCACATATGCATACACACTAGAAATGGGTACACATGTCTCGAGTCCAAATATAAAGAATGCACTGCCAGCAAATATAATTCCATAGATGCCTTCCTCAATTCAAAATATCAACAAATTAAAATAGAGAAAATGATCTCCTATGTTAAAAAGATGGTTATCACCACTTAAATCGTATTTATGGGATAATTTATTTATCATCTACATTTATACTAATAATTTGTTTCCTTAAGTTAAATAGAGGTCAGGTATATCAGTCTATAACAATCAGGTATAACAATGTAGTTGCTGATCTTGAGCCAGACATCCTGGAGAGTGAAGTCAAGTGGGCCTTAGAAAGCCTGGCTAACAACAAGGCCAGTGGAGGTGATGGCATTCCAGCTGAACTATTTAAAATCTTAAAAGATGATGCTGTTAAGGTGCTACATTCAATATGCCAGCAAGTTTGGAAAACTCAACAGTGGCCAGAGGACTGGAAAAGATCAGTTTACATCCCAATCCCAAAGAAGGGAAGTGCCAAAGAATGCTCCAACTACCGCACAATTGCACTCATTTCACACGCTAGCAAGGTTATGCTCAAAATCCTACAAGGTAGGCTTCAGCAATATGTGGACTGAGAACTCCCAGAAGTACAAGCGGGATTCCTAAGGGGCAGAGGAACTCGAGACTAAATTGCTAACATGCGCTGGATTATGGAGAAAGCCAGAGAGTTCCAGAAAAACATCTACTTCTGCTTCATTGATTATGCAAAAGCCTTTGACTGTGTGGACCACAGCAAACTATGGCAAGTCCTTAAAGAAATGGGCGTGCCTGACCACCTTATCCATCTCCTGAGAAACCTATATGTGGGACAGGAAGCAACAGTTAGAACAGGATATGGAACAATTGATTGGTTCAAAATTGGGAAAGGAGTATGACAAGACTATATATTGTCCCCCGGCTTATTTAATTTATATGCAGAATACATCATGCGGAAGGCTGGACTGGAAGAAACCCAAGCCGGAATTAAGATTGCCGGAAGAAATATCAACAACCTCAGATATGCAGATGATACCACTCTGATGGCAGAAAGCGAGGAGGAACTAAAGAACCTTGTAATGAGGGTGAAAGAGGAGAGTGCAAAAAACAGTCTTAAACTCAACATCAAAAAAACTAAGATCATGGCCACTGGCCCCATCACGTCCTGGCAAATAGAAGGGAAAGATATGGAGGCAGTGACAGATTTTACCTTCTTGGGCTCCATAATCACTGCAGATGGAGACAGCAGCCACGAAATTAAAAAACGCCTGCTTCTTGGGAGGAAAGCAATGACAAACTTTGACAGCATCTTAAAAAGCAGAGACATCACCTTTCCTGTAGTGATGTATGGAAGTGGGAGCTGGGCCATAAAGCTGACAGCCGAAGAATTGATGCCTTTGAATTGTGGTGCTGGAGGAGGCTCTTGAGAGTCCCCTGGACTGCAAGGATGACAAACCTATCAATTCTAAAGGAAATCAACCCTGAGTGCTCACTGGAAGGACAGATCCTGAAGCTGAGGCTCCAATACTTTGGCCATCTCATGAGAAGAGAGGACTCCTTGGAAAAGACCTTAATGTTGGGAAAGTGTGAAGGCAAGAGGAGAAGGGGATGATAGAGGATGAGATGGTTGGACAGTGTCACCGAAGCAACCAACATGAATCTGACCCAACTCCGGGAGGCAGTGGAAGATAGGAGGGCCGGGCGTGCTCTGGTCCATGGGGTCACGAAGAGTCGGACACGACTAAACGACTAAACGACGACGATATCAGTCTTTTAATATTAATTAAAACTGCCTTGTTTACTCTAAACAATGCTCAACACTGAAAAGAGACCTACTATACAAGGAAGTCAGGATACGTGCTTTCACAGCACCTTCCATGAGCCCTGAACACTGAACATGCTATCTGGAGTTTATGGGAGCTGCAGTCATTTTCAGGTTACACAAACCTGTGCTTAAAACCCCCCATGGCTATACTTAAATGTCACAATGGCTGAACTTGTTTTTTGAAGTCAAAGGCTGCATCAATTCATAGTTGTATAACTTGAAAATTGAGTCTATACTTACTGTAAGCACAGCTTAATTCAGTGCAGCTTAATTTAAATACACCTATAGTGCCACAGGCTTAAGCATATTTAGCTGACACACTGAAACAAGGATTTTATTTCTGAACAAACATGCAATGGATTCAACAGTAAAAATGCAGGATTTATTTTATCCTTTTGGCTACTATGCTAATTGTTACTGCTGGATCCAATGAATGTTTGTTTGAATTAAGATGTTGGTTTTCATGAGTGTCGACAATTTATTTTATAAAAAAAATCCTGCACTGGACAGAGTCCTATCAAGTATGCAGAATAAATACAAACACTGTTGATTCTGTTTGGCAGGACCATTGATTTCAAATTCAAGGGTCATTTGCTTCACTAGAATGAGCTTCTCTTCTTTCATTTAAGTTAAGGGAAGATTTCTATGTCTAACAGTTGTATGGAAGAAGCTTATGCCAAATTTACATTCTACACATAAATATGGAAGATGCAGGTGCCCTTCCCTTTCTTTCACAGAGCCACCTTTCTTTCACATAGCTACTTCAATATAGTCAACGTCCCCATTTCTTTCTCATTCCCTTGGAGCAAGGGTGGTTGTTTATCTGGTACAAAAGTTCTTGATTTAAGGTTTTGGCACCAGAAAAGTTTACTTTGATTATGCAAAAAAAGGAAAGGAGAGATAAGTGCTTACGCTAGTCTGTACAAGTTTGCGTCAAACATCACAAAGCATTGCT